TGAAGCACGTGACCAAGCACCGCGAGGGCTACGTGTCCCTCAAGCTGCTCGCCAGCTACAAGAAGGTCAAGCGCCTCACTAAGGACTGGCGCGTCGTGGCGCACGCCCTCAGGTCGTCCAACTCGCTCGAGATGAACCCGGAGGAGACGAAGGCTCGCCGCCGCCACGGCCTGCCGCAGGAGCTCGAGGAGGACACGCGCCCCTTCAGGATCATCATCGCCACGCACATCCCCAAGGAGCTCGCCAACATGAACAACATCGCCGAGTACTTCGCCAAGTTCGGCGAAATGATTTCATTGCAAGTCCACAAGCCGGGCGGCCGCACGCTGGACGAGGTACGCCTGGTGGAGCGCCTCCACCCCGGCTCCGCCGCCACCGTCTGCGCCCTCGTCGAGTACGAGAAGGTGCACTGCGCCCGCCAGGCCCTGCGGACCATCGCCAACAGCGCCGAGGGCGAGATGAGGGCGGTGGAGATGCCCCGCAAGAAGCGCGAGATGGGCTCCCTGCTGGGCATTAAGTCGCAGATGGACAACGAGAGCTGCTACTTCAGCGCCTCCGACGCGTCCGAGCCCGCGTCGCCCGTGTACCGCACGCGCCACGTGCGCCTCATGTCGCCGTCGTCGTCGCTCGCCTCCTCGCCCAGCGTGTCGCCCATCCCGCAGCGGCGTCACGGCGCGGCGCCGTCGCTCTCGCCCGAGTCATCGCCGCCCTCGCCCTACGGCCGCCGGCGGGGCCCGCCCACGCCCTGCTCGTCCCCCGAGGACAGCGCGGCCGTCCGCTTCCTGCTGTCCAGTGACTCCTTCGCCCCCTTCCCCTCGCGTTCCGACGTCCCGAGCTCGCTGCCGCTGCCGCGCCGCCACATGCCCTCACGCGGCATGGCGTCCCCGGAGCCCGCATGGCGCCGCGGAGTCAACAGCAGCAGCAGCAGCTCGCCCGACGGGCCAGCGACGCCCCTGAGTCCGTGGCTGCGGCGGCGCGTGCTCGCCAGGGCGGGCGACGGGCCCGGCAGCTCGGCGCTCTCGAGCCCGTCGACGTCGCCCGCCCTGCGGCGGCGCAACGACTCGCCGATGCCGCTGCCCGACAACGTGGAGCGCCTGCCGAGGGGGCCCGACGGGACGCGCGGCTTCGCTCGCCGCCCGCTGCTCAACGCACAGGCCTGACCGCCCACGCACGCCCCGCGCGCCCGCTGCGTTTGGTGCAGGGCCTCGGCCGCAGAGGCAGCCTGGCTACGCGAAGCCGAATCAGACCAAACGCACACCTGATCACGTGTTATTAATCCAATGATAGGTAGACGTTCCTGGAACAGCCGTATCATCAGAGCAATGTATTCTAGTCGTGAGGATGAATATCTTATTTATGTAAAAATAAAACATCAATATTTGCTAGATTTTCAATAACCTCCTGGTGTGGGGTCTGAGACTCCCTTATGAATACACAGATGCCCTATATGTATAGTACACAGACACACACAGACACACACATACACACACACATACACACACACGTCTAAGTCAGTATCTATCTACCAACACATGCGCTCACACAACCAATTGGCAAGTTTAGATCTAAAGGATCTAATTATACATTTTCACTTCTTATACAAATACTACCAAACGTGGACGCGCCCCGCTTCAAACAAATACCAAGAAATACCTTACTAAAAAAAACAAACAAACAAAAAAAAGGAAAATATTTTAACCTATTTTGACAATTGCAAAAGCAACAACGTAAACAAAAGTCAGAGGCAGCTGACATCATCAAGTATAAACCCAAATTGCACGATTCCAATTAATATTAATGATTAATAGAACATATTCAACCTTGCATCGCAGGATTATTATTATTATTATTATCATTACTATTATTATTATTTTTGTTATTATTATTATCGTTATTATTTTCGTTATTGTTATCATTGATATCATTATCATTGTTATTATCATTTGTATCGTTCTCCGCGGACGCCGAGACCAGACTTTGGTCCTCAGGCTTAAAGTCCAGTTGTTTCCGAGGAAGTTGAAGACCGAGCAGGGCGTGTTGCGAGACGATCTTCTGGACTTCTTCGATGATGATCATTGCAGGAATCCATAAAAAAAGTAATAAATGGATGGGATAAATGATCATGATTCGCTTTCTGATAAGGCCGAGGGTCTCCGGCACTGACAGGAATAACAGCCGCGCTCTTCATTTTGGTTTTAATTCTTCTATTTGATAACGACATCGGGCCTGTTGGCAGCAATACTCTTGTCTTGGACTGGTATATCCCAGAGTATGATACACCTTTCCCTTCGGCGTCTGTGTCTGGCTTCTAGTGAGCTTGCATATTTTTCAGAGGATACAGATTAGTGGCTCGCCGACGTGTCTTTTAGGGTTTTCTTTCTCCACCGGAGCTGGACATCCTCACGTGCCTGCGGTTTCAGCATATGCGGGACATGATCGGGATTTTTGGTTTGGTTCGTCTTTCCTTATCTTATTCACAGAGTTGTTAGCGACAAGGCTT